TTCGACTTGTAGCTAAGGTCTTGCTACGTAAGTTGTTTCACACAGTACGACCATACTGTGATCTCAATCTGGCCCAAATGTACACTGAATGTTTGGGGCCGAGCCAACTGATGAACCAACACGGACTGGGCACCGACGCCTGGGCCTTCCGCAGAAGCCTATAGGCTATAGATCCAGTCGATAACGCTGCCGAAGCCGGCAAGCGGCGGAGACTCGACAACAAACAGGCAGTGCCTGGAGCAGCCGTGGCATGTGAGCAACTGGTTCAACAGATAGCACAATCACTTCCTAGAGTAGGCCGACAAAGGATCATGAACCATGAACACATACACCAAATCCAAACCATGTTTCCAGAGAAACGCATCGTGTTCGTCATGGGATGCAGGGGAACTGATCGACTGCAAGCGCTGCCACCAGACATGCCTCAAACCGAGTCACCATATCGCAGAGCCATTGTCATGCTCCGGAATCCAAATGGAGGCGGAATGGGAAGACTGGAGCAAAAATTGTCCAAACGACAAGTATAAGTACAAAGGAATGGACATGCCTGTCGAATATGCATAACAGCTTTTGGAACAGATTGGCATGAACTAGCCGACCAGTCATCTCAGTCCAAACCAAGTCAGGTAAGAACCCCTACACCAAATAGACAGGATCTAAGGGTAGACCAAGACATGCCGATGAGCACCATACCAGAAGATGCCCCAGTCAGAAGCACTTCAGGGGCCTCTGATCATCAAGAGCCAAGGTCCATCGAATCCACAATCGGTCCCATAGAACATGGTCCCCGGTACATGTCACTGTCAAGAAGAGATCAGCGAATGATTGCCCAGTTACACCAGAATCTCGGTCATCCAAGTCCCGAACGTCTCTGCCAAGCCCTTCAGCAGAAGGGAGCCCGATCCGAACTCGTCGAAGGAATCATAGACTATCGCTGCTCCATTTGCGCAAAGACACAGAAGCCCAAACATGCTCGGGTAGGACACCTCCGCCCCGATATCGATTTTAATCATCATGTCATGATCGATGGAATACAATGGAAAGGTCACCAAGGACAGGAATATCATTAAAAACCATGTTCTTGATTTGTGCACCAACTATCATGTAGCATTCCATACTGCTCAAAGAAGTTCGACACAGTTCTCAGAGGGCCTCATGAAACGTTGGATTCAATGGGCTGGAGCACCTGATATCCTCACCTTTGACTCCGCCACGGAGTTCAAAAGTGAAGAGGCCGTGAAGTTCTTTGAACGTTTTGGCATTCGCACCATCACCACAGTCCCACATGCACCATGGCAAAATGGTCGACTAGAACGACATGGTGCAGTTCTCCAACAAATGCTGGCGCGCATGGACTTGCAGGAACCTATCAATAGCACAGGTGAGTTGGACCGGTGTTTGGGACAATGCACAGCTTCCAAGAACTCACTCAGCCTACATCAAGGATATTCCCCCGAAATGCTGGTGTTTGGAAAACCTCAGAGGAATCGGTCCTAAGTGATAATAATGATAATAGTCTTCCCTCCCACGCATGGCAATCCCAAGAACAACAAGACATTCAAACCGACCAATTCAAGAACATGCTCCGTAGACGGGAACAAGCTCGGATCGCGTACCATCAAGCCGACAACGATTCAGCACTTAGAAGAGCCATGCTTAGTAGGAGACCATGCCCACATCGTGGACATTACCCCCAAGGGTCATGGGTAAAGACCTGCAAGACATCCCTCGGAAAGGAACATTGGTCCGGACCTCAACGAGCAGTCCTCCATCCCGATCAATCCACTGTATGGACCACGGTTGCAGGACGTCTGTCTGTTCAGAAGTGCTCCCGAGAATGTCCGTCCAGTCTCAATTGAGGAAGCCACGCAGGTCCCTCTGACCGACGACAATGCTGAGACGGAAATGTCTCGTCTGATTCGTATGATCCCGATGCCAGTGACATCCGACGATGCCATACCGGAACAAGTAGAAGCACCACATGTACAGGCACATGACTTGAATGAACCTCAAGAGGTTCCACAGGTTCTTCGCGACAGCCCATCGACTCAACCAGATCAAGAACCTGCTGCGCCTTCCGAAATGCCAAGTAGGCAAGAAACCCCCATAGAGGTTCCCGGAACGTCAGAAACTACAGAACATGTAGTTCTCCCTCCCGAAGTGGAAGGTTCTAATGATCCTCCAGGGGGTAAATGATGATGAAATTCTCTTTCTGATCAAAGAGGCTGATCCTCCAGCATTACAAGCTACCACGAACGAGAACCACATGTGCTGGAGAGTCGAATTCGATGTGTGTTGCCATCTGAAGGAAGAATCCATTGACGCCGAAGCCACGCGGTTGTTGCTGGCTACGGCCGGGAAGAAGCAGCGGACTGAAGTCCTTAAGTGCAGGTGGGTTTTGACTCGTAAACCACTTGATCCCATTGATGCCAAGGGTCAAGGAAGGGACTATAAGCCTAAGGCTCGATTGGTAATTCTTGGCTACTTGGAACTTGAGCTGACAGAGATCCCACGGGATAGTCCTACACTCAATAAGACCTCCCGCATGCTCCTCCTGCAAATGGTGGCCAGTCACGGATGGGACTTGTTAAGCTTTGATATCAAAGCGGCATTCCTGCAGGGGAAGCCCCAATCCAATCGAACGCTAGCTATAGAACCCCCGGAAGAATTCAAAAGAATCACGCAGCTCCGTCCAAACGAGAGCCTCAAGCTTGAAAAAGGAGCATACGGCTTGATAGACGCTCCGTATCAACGGTTTTGTGCATTAATGCATGTTGACGACGGCATCGGCGGTGGAAGTCCCAGATTCTTGAACGTCGTCGCCGAACTCGAAAAGCGATTTCCTTTGAGTCAAAGAAAAGTCGGTCGTTCACCTTCACCGGAATAGACTTGCAACAAAGGGGGGATCAGGGAATAGTGTTGTCACAGGAAACATTCGTGTCCAAAATCCCCGCCATACAAATTTCTCCCGAAAGCCGAAAGCAACCAGATCGACCAGTATTGGGCCCTTACAGTACGCTGCCATCAATACCCGACCTGATTTGTCTGCCAAGCTTAGTTTCCTCCAGTCAGCTAGGCCACGGTAGAAACACTAAGTGAAGCGAATAAGGTACTACACGAAGCCAAACGCCACAAGGGCGTGTGTGTGTGTGTGTGTGTGGCAATCCAACCAAACCCAATGAAACACTTCAGGTTCCTGGCATTCTAAGATGCCTCATTCTCATCACATAACAAACCTGATTCTCACTCTGGTTCCATCATCCTGGGCACCCATCAGAACATCGACCAGAATCAGAGTTGCCCCATTAGTCCCATCTCATGGGTTTGTCGGAAAATACAGAAGGTGGTCACGAGCACATTGTCAGCAGAAACAATGTCCCAGTCAGCAGTACTCGACCAGGTCTCCTGGTTGCGGCTCTTTTGGGATTGGCCCAGATTGGCTATGTAAGCCATCAGACAGCTGGAAACGTGCCGAGGAAACTTTGAAGAGAATAGCCCCAGCTATCACTGCTCCCACCTTAAGGGATGTAGCCACAGCCGATTGTAATTCGCTCTACGACCTCACAACACGGACCGCCGCCCCTAATTGCACTGAGTACAGAACCCAATTGCAAGCACGCGCAATCAAGGACTTGTTAGGCGAGGGAATTAGACTTCGGTGGGTCGCCAGTGGCGCCCAATTGGCGGACGCCCTCACTAAACAGATGGAAGCTTCATTTTTGCGTGAAACCTTGAGACATGGGCACTACCAGTTGTCCGATGAGCAATCGATCCTGAAAGCACGGGCAACCGCTCGCGATCGCATCAAGTGGCTAAAGAAGGAAGCCGGTCCAGACGAGGCCAATGAAGAAACTGAACTCGCATGATTCACCACTTTCTCTACAACAATAAAAGAAGTAGAGAAAATGTTGGGAGTGTGAATGTGCCATGTTCAGGACCATTTCGTTTGCAGGACCGACTCACAGTTCCACCATCCGCAAGGCCATTGGCCCAGGACGGGGTTTCCGGCGGAGGGTGGGCTGGGCAAAGCCATAGGCCTTTTGTCGGCGCCAGGCGGCGCTCCGTCTCGCAGGGTCGAGACTCCACGGACACAGGAACGAGCTGGAAAGAGAGAGCTTGTGCAGCTGCTTGGGGACGAGCTGTCAGTTGGTTGTGTTGGAGAGAGACCCATTACCAGTGTGGTTACCCAATCACAATATCCGCTCCTTCTTGTGACAGTGTGACGGCCATCCTTGTAGTGGGTGTAGTGGGTGTTCTGTGTGCATAGCTGGGGCCAAATCTCGGCTGCCACGTCAAAGTTTGCCAGAGCTTGCAAATGGGGCTGATGTAGAGACAACGCTGAAGGAAACTCTCCCTCTCTCTCTCTCTCTCTGTCTGTCTGTCTGTCGGTCGGTCGGTCCATCCGTTGGTCCGTCCATCCGTCGGTCTGTCTATCTGTTTTTGTTTGCCTGCCTCCCTGCCTGGCTGGCTGTCTGCCTGTCTGTCTCTGTCTCTGTCTCTGTTTTTGCGTGCGCGTTTAACAATTGCTCGTTTATGTATCGTTCTCTTCCTCTGCTTTCACATTTCCTGTTTTGGGTTGGCCTCATCCGCGTGTATGTCCGGCTTGTTCATTTGGATTCCCCTTCTCACTTCTTCTGTGCCCTGGGTTTTCTCATGCCCATTTGTTAATTTCTGTTCGTCTTTCCTCCAGCTACTTTGATTCTTCCCAGGAATACCTCTCGCCTGCTCACCTGTGCGCTGGTAAACTTTTCAATCAGACTGTAGAGGTAACCGTGTATAGGGAAGGAGCAATCAAAACCTGGAATTGGAGAAGGCACGATTATGGAAATACCGAGTCATGGAAGATCAAGCAAAACAAGAAGCTAAAAACAGCGAGATAAAAATACATTAAAGCAGAAAGGACAGTGAAAGTAGAGGGTTTGGGAAAGAACAATAGGTTAACCACCAGGCAACGACTTGAACGGCAGGAAGTTGGCCAAGTTTGGGTAAACGCTCCCGTCCTCATTGATGGCCACAATCCACCGTTGCATCCTGAGCCCGCGCGCCAACGTTCCTTCCTCTACTCTCTCTACTTGCAATTCTCGAGCGACATGGCAAAGTGTGTCGGCGAACGATCGTTGCGCTGGATATGCTGGTCCCGTTGATTGTGCTGGTTACACTGGCGCTGATTTCGTTGGTTACTCTGGTTGTGCTGGCGATGCCGCGCTGGTTACCTGGCTGCGGTGCAGGCGTCGTCTGTGTACTCGGCGCAACTACCTGTGGCAGGGCAGGCGAGCCACTTGTGTAGTTTGGTGCGGTGCACGTAGACTAAAATAGGCGACATTCCCTCTGCCCAAGGCTGTCGGTTCATCAATCCAGCGGCTCTATATTACATTATATTACAGCAGTGGCGTGCTTTTGTGGCGGTGACGTGTATTTGTGGATCATCCCTGCTTCTGAGTAGAAAGCCGGTTAAACTCTGAAAAGCCCGCTGAATTTGCTCTAAGCCTCTAAGCCTCCCAGCCGGTGATTTTTTTGCGTTGCTCTGAGCATCGGAGCTGGTCACGAAGAAACATGTCCAAGCCAGCAACGCAATTCTCGGCAATTATTGACAGATGTCTGTCATCACGCCCTGTACCAGGCAGCCTCTTACTTGGGACAGCCCAAGCCCTGCAAGGCTTTTTTGGACAACAAAAGTGTTGGGGTAGACTGCGGTAAAGCAGGCCCACTGGGGTGGCGCAAACTGAAAAAACCTTCACGGCTCTGTTCGTCTCCATCTCTCACCCTACCCCTGTCCTCCTTCAAATTCCTGGCCTTTCTCTCAAGCCAGGCATCTCCCGCTCTTCTGTGGCCCGCAAGAGTAGCTTTTGCGCCCGGTCACAAGCGGCTTTGCCCAGCTCCAAGGCATAGGAAATGCAAAATTCAGCCTATCCATGGAACTGTGAGACATTGCCTCATGTGAAATTAACATGGGACCTCGTGACTTGGGTGTCCAAAAGCTCGCTGATGTCAAATGTCAAATATCCGAAGGAGTTAAAACCTTCCAACCCACGCTGCAACGAAATCATGAGGTTTTCCGTTGATGATTTTTTATCCTTTCCACGCTTATCCTGGCAGGACCTTGCCTTCTTTTGGGCCTCTACTGTTGATACAGCGGCAATGCTGATGCAAAGAGTGACTTTTGCACTGGTGCGAGAGGCAAAGGCCACCAAATACCTCAGTTGGCATGTCCATGTGTTGGAACAGAATCGTGCTGCTTTTCGTAAAATGAAAGCATGGCTTGACTATGCTTGACTTAATCGAAGCAAGGCTCCTCTCAGCCACCCAATTAGTTGTCACTGCTGTTGTTTGTCGAGCTGCTCCGGAGACAAAACGAACCACTCCGCCACCCAAGGACTTCCACACGGGAAAGCACAAGACCTTGGCGATGCGTATGATATGGCATCTCCAACAAGAGAGGCAACAATGGAAATCCCGATGGCCTCCAAGCTAATAGCAATGGCCTCCAACCTAATAGCGATGGCCTCCAACCTAATAGAAATGGCCTCCAACCTAATAGCGATGGC